GACAAATGAATAGCACAAAGATTTTGGTTCTCCACCAACTAACTTTTAAATTTAAGTCAATTTCAATAAAATGCCAACAATTTTTTTAATGGAACTGAAGACATTGATATGAAAATTCATATGAAAAAATTAATATGCAGGAATTGCCAGGAAAGCAGTAAAAGTGAAGAGCTACAAGAAGTCACTTAGGAACCTATTGTACATTAAAACATATATTGAGGGCTGGGGTTGTGACTCAGTGGTAGAACACTTGCCTACCATGTATGAGGCACAGGGTTCGTTCCCCAGAACCACATTAAAAAAAAAAAAAAACTAAATAAACAAAATAAAGGTATGATGTCTGTATAGAACTAAAAATAACATATATTGAACATTTGAAAAAAACATATATTGAAGTTTGTACGACTGAGACAATCTGACGCTATGGGTAAACAGGCCAGTGGAATAAAACAAAAAGCCCAGAAATAGATCCAAGTATATCTGGAAATTAATATGATACTTCATTTCACTGGGGCAAACATGTACTTCTCATTGAATGGTGCTGGGACAGTTGGGTAGTCATTTGGAAAAAGAAAACTATATTCATATTTCTCATCACACACAAAAATTAATGCCTATGGATCAAGGATCTAAATGTAAAGGCTGGAATTATAAAAATACTAGAAGAAACATAGTAAATTTTGTTTTAGCTTTGGTATAGGATATTCTATGATTTAGAATTCAGATTCAATAAAATAAATTGTTAATAAATTTGAGTAACATTTTTTTTCCAGTACTGGGGATTGAAACCCAGAGACCCTTTCCCACTGGGCCACATCCCCATCCTTTTAAAATTTTGAGATAGGGTCATGCTAAGTTTCCTAGCCTGGTCTCAAACTTGTGATCCTCCTGCTTCAGCCTCCTGAGTTGCTGGGATTATAGGCATTCACCACCACATTTTGGGTGGGGGTATAGGGGATTGAATTCAGGGATACTCAACCACTGAACCACATCCTCACTCCTATATTGTACTTTATTTTTAGACAGGGTCTCACTGAATTGCTTAGCACCTTGCTTTTGCTGAGGTTGGCTTTGAACTTGCTATCCTCCTGCCTCAGCCTCCCAAACTGCTGGGATTATAGTCATGCACCACCCCACCCAGCTCTACTAACATTTTTAAGAATAACTCTGTATGTGTGTGCGTGTGTGTTAGAAACACCATAAAATCTGTCAACTGAAAAACCGAGAGAACATAGTTCTAATACATATCACAATTAAAGAGATAATCATTGTAAGATATAAATAACTTCTAGGAGGGAGAAAAAAGTTGAAACCCAATAGAAAATGACACAGACAATTCACAAAAATGATGTGAAAATGACCCTTCAACACATGAAGATGCTTAGCTTTACTCATAATAAGAGAAATATAAAAATAAAAAAACTATAGTGAGATATTATTTCTTATATAACATTTGCAAAAATTAAAAAGTGCAACCATGCCCATGTAAGGATGTCCAATGACAGACCTTGTGTACAATGGTGGTCCCATTAGATTATATGATCTAGTGATATTGTAGCCATCTAGGTTTATGTAAGTAAACTTTAGGAACTTCTTTCAAAACAACAAAATTACCTAACAGTGCATTTATGAGATCATATCCCTGTCATTAACTTATGTATGACTGTATGTTACCTTTTTTTTAAGACTTAATGTTTTTAGAGCAGTTTGATTCACAGCAAAATTGAGAGGAAGATACAGAGATATCCCATATCATGTTCTTGGACTTCCCAGCTTCCAGAAATGTGAGCAAAGTGAAACTCTCTTCTTCTATACTCTACTCAGTCTGTGGTATTCTTATAGCTACAGAAAATGGACTAAGACAATCACGTAAAGTCCATAATTTACTTTAAGGATCACTCTTGATGTCATGCATCCTGCGGGTTTGGACAAATGTACACAATGACATATGTCTAACGTTTTAGTATGATAAAAATAGTTTATACCTGTCCTAAAAATCCTCTGTGCTCTGCCTATTTACCTCTCTCCCCCAGCCTCTGATCTTTTTCACTATGTCCATAGTTTTGCCTTTTCCAGAATGTCACATATTTGGAATTAATAGTTTGTGGCCTTTTCAGATTGGCTTCGTTCACTCAATGATTTAAGATTTCTCTACGTCTTTTAATGGCTTTATCAAGCTCATTTCTTAATAATATTCTATTATCTGGATGCATCACAGTTTATTTATCCATTCACCCATTAAAGGACAATCTTGGTTACTTCCAAGTTTGGTAATTATAAATAAAGCTGGCATAAAATTTGTGTGCAGATTTTTGTGTGGACTTAAGTTTTTAACTCTTTTGGGTAGATACCAAGGTGTGGATTTGCTGGATCATAGGGTAAGAGTATGATTCGTTTTCTGCAAGTCTGTCTTTAATATAGTACTTTTTAATAGCTGGTGATAATGACAATTGTCACAACCCACACCACATATATGGAAAGGGGGAGAAAACAGAATCAACAATTATTCACTATGAACTCATGGTTTTATACACACACACAGTATGTGGGTATGTATATATGAACATTTATGTATGTGTGTATGTATGTATATGTCTAGTTTCACTGGTTATTTGGTGAGAGAGTCTAAAAGCAATGACAGCTCAGTAGTAATGAGCACTCCTAAAGTAAACATCTTGGTTTCTAAATGCCATCTTCTATTAAGAAGAATCACAATTCCTTGAAGAAATGTCTGATTACAGGATTGGAGAAGGAAAATACATAAGGAGTTGAAAATCTCATTGTACCAAAAGGTAAGGAAATCCTCAAAGTTTGAAGAGGACATGTCAAAAGGATATGAGACAGATTGAAAGGGCTCCCTGGCCAAACCAGAGAAAATTCAAGCATTGAAGTAATTATAGTAAAGGATTAGCACATATTGATTAAAACAAGAACCCATGAATTCATGTTGAAATAAATCAATAGGAAGATAAAGTTTTCTTACAGTAGAAAAGCAACTAATAAATACAGAAGTGATATAATTAGAAAAATCACTCTTGATGTCACGCATCAAGCAGCCATCCTAATTATAACTGAAGCAAAAGTAAGACACTAAAACTTATAATAAGCAAAAATTTGAGGGATAACAGAATATTAACATATTCTCAAAGCATCTCTCTACATAAAGTAACGCATTAATCACAAGTGGATAATAGTAACTTTATGCTGGAGAAATGACTACCTTGACAAAACTACTTCATTAAGAGAGCAAATCAATATCATGAGCCTCTTCATCTGAGGCACTGAGAAGCATACCTCATCACTTTTGTTATACACTTGCACAGACACATAACCTAAATTTTATAATAAGGAAACATCAAACAAACTCCAATGAAGAGAGTTTATAAAATTACTAGTCTGTACTGTACATTATATGTGTTTGACACATGGATAAAAAATAGAATTAACTCATCCATCTGCACATCTGCAGAGCACTACTAGTATGGGCTCTTATCTGAAAACATAGGACATGAGAAGATTCAGTTAGTTTCAGCAACAGTTGAAACAGAAAGAATCATTCCTGAGGATTAACAGCCATTGTTTGGGCAATTTGATTTTTATCAAGAAGGGTACATGGGGAAGAAGGATCTGCACAGGCAAAGTGAAAATTCTTAGTCCTTCAAGATCTTCTACAGGATCTTTAAATGACTTCTTCATAAGAAGTCAAAGAACACAAAGAACTTAAAATTTTCTCTTTTGAATTTAGTTAATGCTAAAATATTTTTCCTGCTAAATTTCACAGATTCCACTTGAGATGAAAAGTAGATATAATATAAATAACACTAATTAAAGGAAAAAATTGTAAAAAAAAACATTTTGTGCATTAAAGGACACCACCCCCCATAGGTAAAATCACGACCCTCACACAAATATAGTAATGAATACACGGTGAGATTTTATTTAACTCATTAAGGAGGAAACTGATGTTAAAACCAATGCAAAGGACAATTCACAGAACAGATCAGGAATACTATAATAAATGGCCAGTGGAGGTGAAACTTTTTTCCTTAATGGTGACATTGAAGGGGGAGGGGTGTCACTCCAGAGTTCATTTGCATGTAAAAACAAGAATTATTTTTTCATGGCTATCATTTGTCTACAACTTAAAAGTTGTTTAAAGTAACTCCCACAGACTCAGCCTCAACCTGAAAAGATGTGTTTTCTAGGCAATGCAAAAAAACACTTCCCCCTGCCCTTAACAACTATAATTTATCTCCAGACATACAGTAAGCAGAAAATCACAGATGATACTGGGAATACATTGGTCATAAGGTTAACTTCCCAATTCATTAAGGACATATTAAAGGAAATCTTCTTTTATTGCCTACAGGCGTTTCAGGCAAATTAGATATTGTACTTCTAGGGTTCACCACTTGGTAGAGAAGCCCGAATTAGCTATTCAATGACAACTCAACATGCCAAACAACTCTAGGGCAACCTGCAAGTAAACTGTCCCTTCAAAAAGACGTTGTGCAGCCAGACTGAGTATTTGGCCCACTGTTGGCTGGTGGGGAGGAAGTGGTTTCACAGATGTGCACTATACTTATACGAATCTAAACACAATCTAGACTACTGCTTCTTCACTATCCTCCCACATGCCCTAGGGTGGCCTCTTGAGTAGAAATGACTTGTTAAAATAGCATACCTCAGAATCTAGAGCCTGAGGCTCAACCATTTATAAGCTTGTTTCTTCTGAAAAATGGGCATTAATTACAATGCCTAGCTGCCAGGATTCAGACATAAAGGATGTAAAAATGCTCTGTAAACTGTTGAGAGTTATTAAAAAGAATACATATTCTCTTTTAGGATGCCACGGTGCCAAGCTCATCGCTAGAAAAGATAAGGGTCTTGGTGCCTTTCAACACCCGCGGAGTTTACTCCCCGCTGGCCGGCGGGAGCCCACTTTGGCTCCTCCCCGCCACAACCACCGAGGGCCCGGCTCCGAAGCTGCGGGTGCGAGGGGATCCGCCTCCCCAGCCCTCGGTGCTGCAGGGTGAAGTCCCGCGCCGGGGCGGAGCAGGCCAGCACCAGTTCCTGATTCTACCAGCGGTGCTGGGGACTGGTGGCGCCACTGGCACGGGCCCTCGGGCAGCGCAGGATGGGCCCGAGCGGCGCGGCGGCGAGCCTGCACCAAGGCCCTGGCCTGCCGCTGCCGCCGCTGCTCTGGCTGATGCTCTTGCTGCCACAGCCGGGCCGGGGCGCGGAGGCCGGCCGGCCACCCCATCTGGTCTTCGTGCTGGCGGACGACCTGGGCTGGAACGACGTGGGTTTCCACGGCTCCTACATTCGCACGCCGCACCTGGACGCGCTGGCCGCCGGCGGGGTGCTCCTAGACAACTACTACACGCAGCCGCTGTGCACGCCGTCGCGGAGCCAGCTGCTCACTGGCCGCTACCAGGTATGCAGCGTCCCGTGCAGCCCGCTCGGCCCCGCGCCCAGCCCCGCCCGCCTGCGGCCGCGGCCCTCCGGCTCCCGGCCAGACTTGGCCTGCGAGACGCGGGCGTGGACCAACTGGGCTCAGTTGTCAAACCTGGGTCCAGGCCAGGAGGCTTCTCGCGGGCTGAGGGGTCCTCGCTCCTCCCAGGCCTGCAGCCTGCCGCGGCTCTGCGCATGCCCAGCTCAGGTCGCGCAGCATCACTGAGCCCCCCGCCCCTGCCCTGGTTCAAGAGTGGGCTTTCGTTTTCTAAAGGTCTGGCGAAGAGGTTTCTGGGAATGGTAGGCTCCCAGCCTGGCCGTCAGCTTGCAGAAAAGGCAGAAAGGCCTCTCCTGAGCAACCTTATAAAGGAGGAATGGAGAGGGAGAGGGAAAGGGTTGGGTCCCCCGGAGTAGTCAAAATCAAAGACCCTGCTTTGGGGGCGACCCAGGTACTACAGGAACCCAGTGGTCATAGGTTAGGAGTGTTAAACCAATGATTGAAGTGATTTTTCCACGTTCCCAACATCCATAGAATGAAACCCCAGACTGATTTTTCTTGGGCTGCTGATATTCCTTTGTTTAACTTTGTATTGAACCCCTTTGAGCTTCTTCACTCTTTTAATGCTTTTCTTTAGAAACATCTCTGTAATTATTAGAGAAACTGTACAGAGTGTGCATATGTTAGATGACTAAGAAGAGCAAGAACACTTCAGAGTGCTTTAATGTCTTTAAAGGTAATTATTGAAACAGCCAATGAGGTTGTTATCTTTAACCCTTTACAGTTGAAGAAATGTCCTGCAAAAACTGGATGAAATGTTTAGAATCATACAGCTAGAAAGTGGTAATGCTGTTTTGTGTTTTGTCTATGTCCACTAGTTATTTCGGGCCTATAAAACAGAACTTTTCCCCTCAATACGAGTAAGATTGAATATAGTAATTCATACTGGTACTTTTGGATACAACACATATATCTTTCCCCCATATATATTTTAGATGATGTATAACTTTTATTTTAATCAAACATTTCAAGCGTATTGTGCTAGTCACAGGAGATATCCTTGAACCCTGACCTCCCAAGCATGTGTTCACATAAATTTTTAGTCCAAACCTAGCCTCATGGTGTCCGAAGACCAAGAGAAGGGAAGATTCATTTAAAATAGAGGTTTGAACGGTGGTCTGAAGACTTTTATAAAGAGGAAATTATTTTGCTAAGAAACAGCTGTAGCCAAGGTTTTGCAGTGGAGATAAAAGTGTGGTTTCCTTCATGGTCAGCAGTGAGTACTTCACAGGGTTCCAATGGGGCTGCTAAATGTAATCAGGAATCCCTACTGTAATGCAAACCTCCCTTTAGGACACTTTGTAGAGTAGAGGGATATGCAACTAAAGAAAAGGGAGAAAAGGAAGGTGAAGTCTGTCTGAAGGGTTCTGCATTTGCTCCGAATAAGAGAACTGAACTTAAATTGCAAAAGAATGAAGGGCCATTCATTTCTCCAATGACTTCCCTTCCAACAGACTTGAGCAGGAAAGCAAATGCCATATTTCAAAATATCGAATTGACTGCTTTTGTCCCTTAATATACTCTCCCATCAGACACCAACATTCAGCCTTGGGAAAATACTTGAGTATTTGGAGAACCCTGTGGTTAAGGAATAGAGGAAAGGTGAAGCTGGCTACTCCAAAATCCTTTATTGATCTCTCCCTGTAGCTGACTCTAGGCACGCTAGCTTTCCCAAATCTTTCTCTTGACTTTTCTTTTACCCATTTTATTCCTTCAGAGTTCATGAGACCCAGTTAGATGCTGGGCTAGTAAGCATCTTCTTCTAAAGGAGTAAACACTTGTGGGAGGGCTTAGGAGTCTTATTGCCCTCAGGCACTATATGCTGGTACTGTCCTGGTCACTTTACAAGTATTAACTAATTCTCACAAAGATCCTATGAGATAGGCCTACTCTTAGCATCCCTATATTCTAAAAAGAAAACTGAGGCTGGAAGAGACTAAGAAATTTGTCACAGGGCCACAGGGCTAGTAAATGGTGGAGTAGGATGTGAACCAGAGTGTGTTCCAGAGTTTGTGCCTATAACCACAATAACATATTGCCTATGTAGAATTATTAGAAATATCATTTTAAGACCTGATTCATAGTTACTAAATAATCTCATTTTTTTGACATTTAGGTCATTCCTAAATGTCTCAATTAAAAAATTAACTTGTCATATTTTTTAGTTAGAAATTGCCTATCATAAGTGTAAAATGGAAATAGATTTTATTTCTGAAGAAGTCATTTGTTGTACATAATTTGTATAATAAAATGAGGAAATTTGTTGTACATAATTTTGCATAATAAAATGAGAAAATTTGTTGGCTATTCCAAAATTAAGCACTTGGAAGAACTACATAAGAGTCATATATGTGAACCTGGCAACCACATTTTAAGTTAATGTTTAGAGAGCCCCTTCCCATAATTGTCTCAGGATTAGAAAAGTGATCAACAAACTTTGACTGACTGTCTTTGCACTTCCTTGAAAGCCTGAGTTTTAGTTTTTTTAATTGCTAAAGTATTAGGAGTTTAGATTAGGAATTATGAGGTGTAGGTTTCTGTTTCTGGTTGTGTCCAATTCTTATCTTGATGACATCATTTCCATATAAGTAAATAAAGGAGTTGGGCTCTTTTAATATAGGATGTGTAATAACAAATATAATACATAATATATTAGTAATATATAATATCTAACACTCTCTGTAGCTTTAAATTTCTTTGACTCTAAAGTTTTTGTGTCCTTAGTACAAGATTATAACTTGGCAAATGCACATTATGCTACCCACTATCGCCATCTGTTGGTGGAAAGATTCATCTTGCCTAACACTTTTGTGCTTTACAAATTGTGTGTGCTACTTATTCTGCTGTTATCAATTTACTTAAACAGAAGTGTGAATTAAGCTTTTTAAAAAATTATTAATATATTTTTATATTTAAAAATGTTTAGTTGTTAATAATCCTCACAAATGATCTTTTTCTAAACATCTATGTTTTGGTGAAAAATATATAGACAGCCTGAGTGAAGTGGGTGGGTGACATGGGGAAAATGAATGGCAGATGAGGTAAGTAGTTCCTAGTAAACCCAGGAAACAGAATTCTGGTTTCTCTAAACTCAGGCTCATGGTTTCCCACAGATTTATTTACTCATCATTTAAAAAATCTTTTAAAAATCTATATTTTATTTGTTTTTAAAATAGAAAACACATTCATGTGGTTTCAAAACTCAAAACTCACAAAAAGGCATATATTGAAAATCGCTCCCCCAAACGTTCTGTTCTTTAGATTCCAGTTCCCATGTTTGTAGGCAAACAGTGCTCACTGAATTGTACATGTCCTTCTGAAAGTGCTCTATGAGTGTAGAAGCAAATACTTATGTAGATATTCCCCTCTTTTCAAAAGACTGGTAACAAACCCTTCATACCATTTTGCATGTCATTTTGTTTTTTTCTTAACATTCGAATCATTCCATGTTGTTAAATAAAGAGCATCCTCATTAATTTTTATGGCTTCATAATGTTTTGTTAAGTGGATATACCATGCTTTATTTAATCAGCCGTATAATGATGAATGTTCTTTTGATTTCCCAAAGAAGGTGAAGTCAGTATCTTGTATTTGAATATATTTATAGGGGAAGTTCCTAGAAAAGGAATTTTCTGGATTTAAGAGTAGATAGTGTTTGTAATTTTGATAAATATTGCAAAATTGAATTTCAAGATATTGTACCAATGTATGTTCCCACCATCAATATATAATATTATATAATATTGACCATTTCCTTATACTATTTTTAAAATTATAGTTCATATGCTATAAAATCCATCATTTTAAAGTATAATTCAGTAGTTTTTCGTGTACAAAGTTTTACAACCAATGTTTTCATCTCTCTAAAAAGAAACTGCATAATCATTAGCAGTCTTCTACTCCCTCATTCCACCAGGACCTGAAAATCAATAATCTGTTTTTTTTTTCTCTCTCTAGATTTGCCTATTTTGGATATGACATTTAAGTGGACTCATATAATATATATGATGCCTATATATATATATATATATATATATATATAGCATTTATTGTTCCCTTTTATGGCTCAGTAATACTCCATTGTATGGATATTTTCTACATCTTCTTTATTCATTCATCATCAATTGATGGACATTGGGTTGTTATACTTTTTGGCTATTATGAATAATGCTGCTGTAATAGCCATGTACAAATTTTTGTATGAACATTTTTAGTTCTCTTGAATACCTAGAAATGGAATGCTGGGTCATATAGCAACTCTAATGTTTTAATTTCTTGAGAAATTGCCAAACTGTTTCCTACAGCACCGGCGCCATTTTATATTTTCACTAGCAATGCATGTGGGTTTCCATTTCCCTATATCCTTGCCAATACTTGTTATTTATGTGACATTTATTCTAGACTTCTGGTCATCCTAATGAAAATGAAGTGGTATCTTGTTGTGGTTTTGATTTGCATTTCCTAATGATTAATGATGGTGATCATCTTTTCATATCTTACTATTTTTGTATCTTCTTTGAAGAAATGTCTATTCAGATCCTTTGACTATTTTAAAATTTATCTTTTGTTGAGTTGTAAGAGTGATAGGTAACAGGTAGACATGAGCAGTAGAGATATGAAGAAACAGGGTAATTCTGTAGACATGCACAGGCCACAGGAGGGGAGAGAGAAATTAGGGGCAGACCAAGGGTAGGGAATCCTAAAATTGAGTGACAGGAAAGTCACACCCATCTGCAGTTAGAAGTCCAGGTTCTTTCTGGAGACTATATACCCCCTCAGTCAAGCCTGTCCCAGTGGGTCCCCTGGGCATGCTCACCAAGTGCAGTATGCCCCAAGGTAATCTTTGGCAAATGATGAGGCAATTCTAATATTAGCATTATGGTTTTGACTCCCTTGTGGGCTTTCACCAGGAATGCTGGGAACAG